AAAGTGGTCCCTATGTCCTCCAGCAGCCTAAACATAAAGCAGCTTAAATATAGAAAACAGCTCCTTGCCACAGAAATATTGACCTATCAACACCTTAGAGCATGTGGTTTCTGTGACACAGGGAGCTGTTAATGCTCTGGCCTGCCAGTGCACTCACAAAGAGCAGAAATAGCCCGTGAACCCTCACCTCTTTTAAATTGTCTTTTAATTTTAACAGTAAGAAGCTGTTGATTTTAAATCTTCTTCCCTACATGCAAAACACATGGTGCAAGATGACTGATTTTCTTGGCATCCTATCTCAATATGAAGGTTGTTAAAGTCCCCCAGCAGAGGACATCTGTAGCTCTGCAGTCACACATATATGTAACCCCACAGTGCTTTTAGAGAACATTAGAGAAATCGCTTAACTGTGCATGCAGTGACAGTGGAGAGGAAAAACTCCCCTTTAACAGGAAGAAATCTTCAGTAGAACTAGGCTTAGCAGCCATCTGCTTAGGCCACTGGGTTTCAAGGAGATAAAAGTAGACATACGGATGAAGTAGTGATACAAAAAGCAACAGTCAACCANTAAGGTTCTTATGTCAAACACAAAGGCTGCTTCAGACGGACATGACAAAAAACATTTCTATTTCTGTTTAACAGAAGATATAATTTGCATTCTTAAACCAGAGAGAGCAAAAGAAGTAAAAAAAAAACCCACCAACACAGTTTGAGCTAATGAACAGGACAGGAGGGTGATATGCAATATAGATTCCATATGGGATTAGATTCACATTTGCATTGCCTGAAATTAATTATCCCAGGAGTTGATAAACTGAGATTTGAATTGGAACTAGACAGGAGTAAAACTAGAATTAGGCTGATTTGGAAACTGTACTGCACCTAAAAATAAATCACCTTTTTTTTATATATATCAAAACCCCTTTCTTTTTTAGAGTAAAAAAAAATGCTGATTTAAAATGTTTTGCTTGGTATCCTCATTTACAGTGTTTGTCAGGCTTAATTTAAGAGAGGAGGGATGAAGAAATGTGGGTCGTTGGACTATTGATAGGGTAGAG